ATTTATATATATATATATATATATATATATATATTGCATATAGCAATGTCGGGATCTCGTTGTTTCATTCCTCTGGCGCACTCTTGAATGACTTGAAGGTATTATGAAGAGAAGATAAAATCTCGATATCGACTGAATTTCCATATTTCTGAACACGTACGGTGGATCGTGTTCATACCATAGAAGGTAGCCTCCTCCCTCCTTCCTCTCTCGATGGGATAGATTCCGTTTACGGATTAGAGGATCCGCGATATAAGTTACATGATATAGATTTCGGCAGTACTGGTTCAAGTTGTCCTAAAGAGCGCTCTCGACTCTGACGTTGTATTGGAGGATCGACTTTCCAAACATTATGTTTCCGGAAGCAGAGATTCGGGCCGGATTTACAAAGTGATCGGGTCACGAGAGTTCCTGTGGTGGCCCAAGGGTCCCAGAGTTGGTGAGGTGGTGGTGATCAAAGTCCAAGGTTGTGAGAGTTGGTGCTTATGGAGAGAGTTTGAAGATGGGAAAACTGAGTCGACCTTGCGTATCTTTGGAATGGTGGTTGGTCTGCGGCCTGGATTTGTCGTCCAAAAGGCACGAGAAATACTTGAACCGTGCGCTAGTAAGGCAAGCTGTCGGCTGCTCTCTGTCACTCGTTCCATCGAGTAGCTATGTTTTGACGCGATGGAATGAGTGACAGAGAGCAGCCGACAGCTTTGCCTTATTGGCGCACAGTTAGTGTTTACTTAGCTCTCCATACAGAGGTTGATGAAGGCTGAAATCAGCCCCATTTTCGGCACGGCCTTAATTTGATCCGTCTGCCAGGGTAAAGGCGTTCAGAGCAAACACGATTGATCAGTAATTATTAGTATTAACTCCGTACAGCAAGCAATACAGGTGCTGCTTCGGGGTCCTTGGAAAGGAATTGGAAAGGGTTTTTGTTGAATCTACGCTAACATGGGCCACATATAAAGCTCAAACTTCCACCTCTCGCCCCCAACTCGAAGCTCGACATCTCACGGCGCATCCCCCATCTCCATCCCAAATGTTACCAGCATGCTCGACCAGCTCTCGCCCGTTGCACCTGCAAGAGTGCGAGTCGTTCTGCTGCCAGTTGGACAAATTAAACGTGCCCGGTTCCTCAGCTTCGTCAATAGACTACAGCCAGAAAATGTCGTGCAACTGGGGGATGTCAGTCCAGATGGACGGCCGAACAGGAGTGAGCAGCATCACGAGCTGAGGCTATTCCCTAGAGCCGCGCTGACCCTCTGCAGACATGTTCTCTCCCCTAGCCTTTTCTACGGGCATGATTGTATACAACCTCACTACATTCTATCCTCCTCAGTCCCACGTTACTCTGTCCCCATTCGAAATCTATCGCGAACCTCTGGTCATCGTTGCCATTGCAGACGGGACAGAGCTAGACCACGTCTCTGATCGGGGTAACAGAAGGAGTCTCAACGGAAATGGGGTTCACCGGAAGGCCCAAAAGGACCATAACCTGCGCGAACTTTACCAGGATTTGGAGGATCTGAGAGACAGATACCCTAAGGCCTTGGTACACCAGATTTTGTTATTTGACCATGTTCCAGAGACAGGAACTGCTCTACCAGAGGGGCTGGTAGCAGTGCCTCCGCCGGAGCAATGCAGGAGGACTACAATGAAGACGATCATGTGTGATATCTCTTCGATGTTACTGGCAGAGATGACCACTTTGGCAAAGTCCTTGCAGGTTTTACCTACGATAGAGTCTCCGAGTCAGTCTCAGCTTAGCAGACAATCGAATGGACCATGGCAAGCCCAAGCAGATTTATCGTCGCGGCGCAAGTCTCAAATGACACTACCATCGGATTCTCGAGCTGGCTCTCGGGCTGGTAGCGCGGATAGGAGCCATGTCCGAATGTCTATGCCAGTTCAACAACTGCAAAGAGCAGATTCAGATTCATCGACAACTTTGGGCAGAAGTCGGGGTGCTAGTAATGCCTCTGCTCACCCTACTACTTTTGATGACATCGTGGGCTCCAGTGCTCAAGATTTGAAGAGTGTTCAAAAAGCTCTGCCCTCTCGATTCGCTGGTGGTGACCCAATTCGAGACAGAAGCCAAGATAGGGTGTCCGTTCAAGGTTTTGGATCCAATAGTGTTAGTGAACGATCGAGAAATAAAGGCAAGGGCCGCATCAGCACGGTAATAGGATCACTTTACATGTGTGCCGGAAGGTGGCCGGACGCACTAAAAGAGCTTACTGAGGGCGCCTCAATTGCGAAAAATAACCTGGATCATCTGTGGCATGCCAAAGCTCTTGATAATATTCTTGTTACGATGCTCATGCTTGCGTGGGCTGGTCTGGATTTTCAGATTCCTCAAATTTGCTATGTTTCTGCAGACAAAGCTCCCTCGACATCAAACCCTCAAGATCAGCGAGGTTCTGCAAATAATCGTCTGGTGGCTCTCCGTAATCTGGAAGCTCTCCTACCGGAGCTGCTCGATCGGATACTGAATATCTATACCAGGGCGACTAACAACACCGGAGAAGCCATGCCACAGTTTCCTTTCTCCGAAACCGCCATCCGATTCTCCAAACTTCTTTCTACAATCCATCTTGCAAGAGGAACATTGAACGACGATGTTTTGCAGCTTATAGTTCTCGATACCCCTTTTAAAACGCCTGCAAGTTTAGTGCCCCCACGATTGCACATACAGCCAACACGGACAGAAATTATGACAACTCTTTTTCGAGCCTTCCCCGCTTCTGCGTCCCCGGAAAGTCTTCAGCTTGTCGACCGAACCTTAGTCCTGAGTGGAATCGCATCCGTGCTCGGATCTTTAGGCCTCCAAAGGAAGAAGGCTATGGTCATCCGGGAACTGGTGGCTGTCATAATACCTGGCCTGGTCCAAGCCCGCATCAAAGGTGCTGCTGATATGGGTGTTCATCCCGCTGCCGGACTATCTGCCCTTATTTCTGCAAATTCCAACACAAATGGAGCTGGCGGTCTCGACCTTGGCGAAGGCGATGTAGAAACTGGTGTCGATACCTTTCTTTGTTCGTTGGTGCAGACATACGGCGTTGTTTCCTCGACGAATAACTCAAATGCCAATGACCCGACCGACGACTCGGATGAAGCGGTCGTAGCGAGGATCTTACACAATGCGTCCGTGAGATCTTTTGGTGGGCAAATTCTCAAGATGGACGTGCTTCGGTCTTGCATAAACATTTCAGAAGCCCTGCCTGACTTTCACGGTGTCCTCAAATTTACGGCAGACCTGCTGAGGACTGCTGGCAGTGGTGTCGCTCCTGGGCCCCGAAGCGAGGATGCATCTCCTTTGATGAGCCGTGAGGAGCAGGTCAGGCTTGCCACAAATATTTCTAGAACGCTAAGCGCGGCAAGAAATCTGGGAGTCAAGGACCTACAAGCTGAATACTGGGACGAGTTTCTATTGCGAGGGGTTGAGCTAGATCCACTGTCGCCGACCCGTACGCCAATCCCTCATACTAAGAGCGAGCTTCCCGGAGCGACTGCCTCTTCAGAAGCGAAAGAAGTCAACCCGTTCATCTACAATCCTTTTTTGCGAACTCCGGATACTGCTGCAGCCGATCATCTGTTGGTTGCTGGGGAAGGAGCCATTTTTCGAGTCACGCTACAGAACCCTTACGAATTTGATGTTGAGATTGAAAGCATAAGACTCGAGACGGAGGGGGCCGAATTCGAATCTTCGGCGCAGAAAACAGTCATAGGGCCATATCGGACTCAAATCCTCACCATCCCCGGAACACCCAAAGTTGCAGGAAAGCTCAGAATTACCGGATGCCTGATCCGTGTGAGAGGGTGCAGGGAGAGACGGTTTCCAATATTCGATCAGCCTTGGTCACCTCAGAGAGAACTCAAAATCAAGACAATCGGGGTTGCTGCACTGTTCAAGCCAAAAGACCGTCCTGTCAGTGTCAGTTCTGGACCTGTGACCACTACGCCGGCTGCCGTGGCGCCCAAACCCACATCTCTTGGGCTCAGCGTTATTGACAGACAACCTGTGGTCGTTGTGAAATCAACGAGTCTCTCTCAATCGGCCCTCATGGTGCTAGAAGGCGAGCGACAGGTGTTCCAGCTAACACTTCAAAATCTGTCCAAAGAAACACCGGTGGATCTCGTGCTGTTCTCTTTCAAGGACTCGACACAGACTCCCCTTCAAACGGCGATGAGTAATCGTGATGCATCCCCTGCGGAGTTATACGAGTATGAGCTTATCTTTGCTCGCAAGCAAGCTTTGCGTTGGAAAAGAAAAGAGAACGAGCGTCTGTACATTGCGCCTGGTGGGACAGCTACCTTTGATATTGAGGTTCTCGGGCGGCCGGGGTTGAAGAGTGCTGTGGTCCAGGTCGACTACGCTCACATTGGTGTACCAGTCACGGAGATAGAGGACAATTTCCATACTCGCCAGGTGAGCTTGCCACTCACTGTCACTGTGAATGCCAGTGTCGAGCTAGCCAGGCTTGATATCCTACCTCTGACGGGAAGCATTCCACGGTCGCTGTGGTCATCAGTCGGCTCTTTTGCCACAGCCGAAAATGACTTCAGAGCCGAGGACTTCTGCTTGGTCCTCCTGGATCTGCGAAACGCGTGGCCCTCGCATCTGCATATTCGCCTCGAAATTCTCCAAGGCGGGTCCATTGATGAAGATATCCTCCCGGGGAATACATCCCGGATCATTTTCCCGATGCGTCGCATATTCCTTGACGACCCTTCGGCATCGATACCAGCTCTCGACCCTTCTCGAGCACGACAGTTCGTCGTCAGCGCCGGCAATGTATCAGCAGAATCCGAGCGGGCCAATAGAGAGGCATTCTGGTATCGCGAAGAGGTCCTGAAGATGCTTTCAGGGACGTGGGTCGTGAAATCCGGACCGCACCGCCATGGCGACATCGAGCTACGCAGCCTCCGATTGAGTCAACGCATGATCGAAGCGATCAAAATCGACGATGTCGCGATTGAACTTTCCGTTAATGGTAGCACGGGCCCCCAGCACGAGCTCATCACCGATGCCTTCTCGGAGCTCACGGTGCGGATAAGCAACCGCACGAAAGACCCGATCAACGCCCTCCTCCGACTGCAGCCCTCTCTCCGCAACCAGCCGCACGCCACCTCCCTCGACCTTTCGAAGAAGCTCGTCTGGAACGGCACCCTGCAGCAGATGCTCCCAGTCATCCCGGGCCAGGAGTCAATCGAGATCAATTTCGGGGTCACGGGTCTCGCACGCGGCGAATTCGAGATGGGTGCCTCGATCGAAGAAGCACAGCTCAAGAGTGAGCCTCGGAAAGCAGTCACTGCCGACGGGGGAAGGCCCCGGGCCAACACGAGGATGATGATGGACGCGGTGCTCGGTGCGCGGGAGAGGAGGATCTGGCATTCGCGGGAGCCGTGTCGGATCGTGGTACGGGACGAGAGCCGCAGCAGCAGCGATGGCAGCGATGACAGTGATGGCAGTGATGGCAGTGATGGCAGTGATGGCAGTGATGATGAGCCTGATGAATCGGGATGACTGGATGTATGATATACCGGTAGTAGTCGGAGTAGTCGGAGTCGTCGGCGTCGTCGGCGTGGTTGGAGTAGTTGGAGTAGTTGGAGTAGTAGGGTGTGCTATTATTTGATGCATAGCGGGTGCGGGCTATCTTGAATAGCTTTTTGATCTGCAGATGCGTGGTGGCCGCTGAATAGATGAAAATGAAAATAGATTTCTGTACAAGCATTCGCCTCGCTTTGGCTTGTTTGTGATAGGTAGGTACAGACAAGAGATATAATTACGAGTCATCTTGGCGGGAATTTCTCCATTTATTGTAAGTCAGCTAGCTCTCTTGGTGGTTGGTTTCCCTTGTCCAACCAAGCTTCTTTTTCCCGTGGTACAGACCTCTGGAAGAGGCTAAGTACGTACTTCCGTGGGCCCTATATAGTCCCGGTACTACGAAGTACGTACGTACTGTACTACTTGTACTTACTGTACATGAATTGCATTCCTTCGCTTGGGTTGAGTTCCTTGGCGGCATGACCAAGCGTATGCGAATCCTGGAGTAATGCTAGCTTTCTTGGCCTGCGTGGATTGCATCTCTTATCTAAACCTCTTTTTTTTTTTCTTTTTCTTTTTTTTTGTTTTCTTTTTGTTCTTCTATCTTCTCCCTTATCCACTTGGACCCTTTGAAGGATCCAAAGTACCTGGCTGAACCTCACGTCACGCGCCGCACTGTAACCGCACCGCACCCCCACCTGCAATCCTCCGTAGTGGTACCTACCATCCGGTACCGGTACCGGTACTACTTCCGTACCTTCTCTCATTTTCACGTACTACACCTTACCCAAAACCAAAACGTGACGAGATGCAGGCGATCACGCGCACTTGTAGTGGGATGCGGAGTGGGGGCAGTGGTACACTACACCTACTTATACTTAGCGCAAGCCGTCCCTCTATTCCTTCGTTATCATCATCAGTATCTTCTTCGTCTTCCTCTTCTTCTTCTTCTTCTGTATTCGTTTCCTCTTCTCCTCGTTGTCCTCCTCTTGCTCCTCGTCGCCGCTTCTTCTCTACCTGGAAAACCACACCGACACCGACACCAACACCAACACCAACACCAACACCAACACCAAGACTATCACTATCACTATCACCATTACACCCACAACCACAAGTACAACGCCATCGTCGTCACACCCCCCTCCCTCGGCCTCTCCGCCGATACTACTGCTCGTCCCATTCGCATTCCCATACCCACCCTCATCCCCCCGCACAGGAAACTCACGCCTCGCCAGCACAGCGCAAGATGGCCAGCATCGCCAGCAACGAGCAAGCCCCAGCGGCTGGTGCCGAGACCGAGTGTAAGCTGGAGAAGGTGACAGCCTTCCTGCAGGCGAGCCATGAGCAGATCTTTGTGAATAACCGCAAGTGGGTGGAGTGCAAGGTCAATGCCGACTGCGATTTCTTTAGCAAGCTGAGTTCCGGCCAGAAGCCGGATTATCTGTACGTTGATTTCTTTTTCTTTTCTCTTTTCTTTCGAGTCGCTGCGCGTTTGCTTTTTCAACCCAAGAAATTGACCTTCCCCAACAATTTTTGGGGGCGTGGGGGGGAGGGCGCGGCGTCTCACACTCACATGACCTGTGTGTCCCAAAAGGATTGGCATTGCGCTTCACCCGGAATGGAATGGGAATCTACATTCAGGTTTCGCTTGGAACATCCCATTGATGATGTTCTTTGTCTTCGTTTTTTTCTGCTTCCTTTTCCAAACCAGATCCTGACCAAAATCCAGCTACATCGGCTGCGCCGACTCTCGTGTCCCCGCCAACGAGATCATGGGCCTCGATGCCGGCGAGGTCTTCGTGCACCGCAACATCGCGAATCTGGTCCCCAACACGGACCTGAACGTCATGTCGGTGATCGAGTACGCCGTGGCGCATCTGCACGTGAAGCACATCGTCGTGTGTGGGCACTACTCCTGCGGTGGAGTGCAGGCGGCCCTTTCGCACACGGACATGGGCCTGCTGAACCCCTGGCTGCGAAACATCCGCGACGTGTACCGCCTCTACGAGAAGGAGCTCGACGAGATCCCGGACCCGGAGCTCAAGAACCGACGCCTAGTCGAGTTGAACGTTATGGAGCAGGCGCGGAACGTCATCAAGACCGCCGTGGTGCAGCAGAGCTACCAGAACAACGGCTACCCCATCGTCCACGCGTGGTGCTTCGACCTGAAGGATGGCCTCCTCAAGGATCTTGAACTTGATTTTGAGAAGCAGTTGAACGGTATCAAAAAGATCTACAATCTCGGTCTGCACTAGGACGGTTTGGATTAGGTCAGTTTATAGCGGAGCGTTGAAAAGAGGCCCTAGGTGTTTGGTTCAGATGTTTTGATGATTTTCAGAGGGTTTTCGAGCTTTGCAGTGCGCGTTGTAGATTTGTATGCCGTACTTTGTTGGACTACACAGATAAAAAAACACCTTTTCTTCCTCCCTCTACTCAAAGAGTGCTCACTTACGCACGTTGATCTTTACTTGACGGCAAAAGGCCACCCACCCTTTCTCCCCGGCTCTGCCTAACAAAAAGGGCAAGCCAGATCGCCACCTCCCTAGATATCTATCTCTCGATCTATCTCTCAATCCACCCATCTCCTCATCTCGTACAACGAACGAACAATACAATTACATGTATGTGAACATCGCCTCTAGCGCTTCACTAGGGATCGTATCATATCGGCCTATCTATCTCTCTATGGCTATGCTTCTTGAATACCGACTCTTTCGAACCGTAGGCCTTTTCTTTTTTTTTTTTTTTTTTTGTTTTCTTTTTTTTGGTTTTCTTTTTTTTTGTTTTTCTTTTTTTTTGTTTTTCTTTTCTTTTTGTTTTCTTTTTTTTTCTTTTCTTTTTTTTTTGTTTTCTTTTTTTTTTGTTTTCTTTTTTTTGTTTTCTTTTTTTTGTTTTCTTTTTTTTGTTTTCTTTTTTTTGGGGGGGGGCCGGAGGGGGGGGGATGATTGATTGATTGATAAGACTGAGACCAAGTCTCGCATATACTTTTCTCTTTTTGTCCTTTCTTTTTTTCTCTTTTCTTTTTTTCCTTTTTTTTTTCTTTTTGTGCTTTTTTCTTTTTTATTTAGTGCTTTCATTGCTTTTTTGGCTAGATATTCATTTGCTGTCTTATTTTTAGGGGGAGGGGAGGGTTGGGGAGGGTAGGGGAGGGAGAGGTAAGAGAATAGATGCTTAGATGCGTGCGTGGCTTGGATACTTTGTAGGAGCTTAGGTATGCTGCTGCTGCTGCTGCTGCTGACGGTGGTTTGTTTTCTTGCTTGCTTTGGAGGGGTGCGGATGGGGATGGGGATGGGGATGGGGATGGGGATGGGGATGCGGGATGCGGGATGGGGGGTTATGGGATGGGATGGGATGGGATGGGATGGGATGGGATGGGATGGGATGGGATAGGATGGGATATGATAGGATAGGATATGGTGAGGAGAGGAGAGATGGAGGTACAGGTGGGTGGGTGTCTATGCACTTACTTCTCTTTGTCGTGTGGTTGGTTGATAGAGAACGTTGCTGAGCTGAGTGTGTAAGAAGTTGGGCTGATCGATTCGGCGGTGATATTATTATTATGAAGGAGGCTATCTATCAACTTAGAAATCGTAAATCGATCTTGATCGAGCAGTCACGCAAGGGACAGTTTCGTAGCTCCTGAGCTTCGGAATGTCTAGATTATGATCTTTTCAAGAATATGCGATTGTCAAAAGGGAGGGGGGAGGTGTGAGGCATTGGGAGCAGGGAATGTCAAATGCGTAAGTGAGGTGAAGGATGTTGACCTTGCATAGGTAGTAATCTTACATCTCTTGAATAGCAATCAAGTATCTGTATCTAGCATTATTATATAGAAGTAGAAACACATGTATATATATGCCTTTAGTTAGAGCCACTGATACCACGAATTCTACCTCGCTTAGTCAATGAAGAGGCTTTTGTTTTTCTTCATGTAAAAACAAAGCAGAGACATGAAGAAAAACAAAGCAGAGAATCATAATACCTAGTATTGGCAGAAGCATTATGAGAGATCTACCATGATAACCTGTTAAAGCGCTAGTGACGAGGATCTGGTAATACTTGATAAGCTAAGAAACTACGCCCTTTTTTTTTTCATTCGCTTATGACTACCCGTTGTTTCGAGATCCAATCACTTGGTTTTTTTAGCAGACGCAAATTCGATACACTTATGAACGATTTTTATACCAATCGTGTGCTAGGTATTAAGGCGATCTCCAGAATCGTAAAGATGATTTACGGATACCAATTGCTTAAAGGCATCACCGAGGCTAGTCTTGCGTCGCGAGCCCAGCTCTTAGCGCAAGATCGCAACGTCCACTACTTATTCCAGACGCTAGCGTCGAAGATATCTCGGCAGGTGGATCTCAACCGGGGGCAAGAGATATTTTCCTCAACTAGCTGCCCTCTATGATCATATGCAGCTATTCGTGACCTCCAACTCCACAACCTGCAGACCTCCTTCGAGGGTCGAGACCCTCGAGGACAACAACAACGCCGAGTACACCGGCTTCTGCACGAGCTCTTGCCGCATCAGTGACGTCCGCTCGGTAACCTACCCGACGGGTAGCTTCCTGGTCGTGAAGTCGATGCACGCGTCTTATGATGTGCTTCCGCATATCTGCTTGTAGCAGCGGCCTGCGAGGTCCGGGGACGCGGTGGACAAGCGTTTTGGGGAGGGGGGGAAGCAGGCTTTGAGAGGCCATCGTGGCATTCACTGCTGGAGCGGGTGACTTTCGTCGCTCTGGTCAGTTCCTGCCTGGACAGGTACCAGCCGGTCCTCGCATGGTGGCTGGGCCGGAACTGACACACGGAGAGAACGGCGGGCGGGCTCCAGCTCCTCCTGGCTTAAGGCGTAACCAGAGTACCCGGGCAGATTGAGCTCCGAGCAACAGAGGGCAGAGAATATTCTATGAGTAGAGACAAATGTACGACACGGCATAGGATAATGGGATCAAGCGGCAATGGCATGGGAGACTTTGATCATGGAGAGACATTGGAAATGGGGTGGTATAAATAGTTAGCTTTTTGCTTTGATGAAGCGAGAGAATGATGATACCAATGTTGAACTCACTGAATGTCAAACTTGAAGTTCGATAACGGCCTTGTTGAATACAATATTTAATTCCTGCCCGGAACTAATCTTATGAAAGAAAAAGATAAGTCGATTTCAAGAATGATTCGTGCTAAATTAGTTCAATTACCTTAGCTGGAATTTATGGGTGATAATATTTGATGGTAGGCTTTTATAATAACAAGCGCCTGTGAATACGTGGAAAAGACCGGAATCTCGAAGCCGAGACTTGAGAGCCTCAGACAGTTTAGCAACAAGGAATAATCAATTCCTTCCGGAAATTCGGAGAATGATTTCGTGCCATATACTATGGCGCTCACTTCATTGCCGGGCTCTGGGTTACTCAAGTCGCAATGCTCTTTTTAGCATCATAAGAGGTGAGGTCCGAAGTGAGCCGAGCATACCAGAGTCACATTATAGCGCGCGTCTATCGCGTTTACCAGCAAGGTATCGACAATCCTCACCACCATGCGATTCAAAACTTCCGTACGGAATATCCAGACCTTCACGAGTACGTACATAACTATCTTGACGCGGAAATGAGACTGACACGCTTTATAGAGCTCACGGCTTCGCTGTCGTCCCTAGGAAAGGTCGCATGGGTACGCCTCGACAATGATGCCGTGCGCTTCACCATCATCCCGGAAACGGGCACGCAAGTGTGGGCGTAAGCGCGCAATTCTATACTCGCAGACGGCCTGGTTCTGACATGTATCAGGTCGCTCTCAATTGAATCTATCTTTGAAGACTACACCATTCAATCCGCAGCCCCGAACAACACCATCAACCTCGAATTACCCCTCACGCCCCTCCATCGCGCCCTGAAGTCCGCAATCAACGCGACTTCTGCCTCGATACGACTCACCAAGAAAGAGGGCGTACCCGTGCTATCCCTCACCATCATCACGAACACGATCAGCAGCGGGCACAGCGGCCACGGCTTCTTGAATGGCTCTGATGACCCATTTGGCGACAATGCGTTCCGGGAAGAGAGTCTCGACGCGAACCTGGGAAGAGATAGGGAGACGATTGTCACGCAGGATATTCCGATCCGGGTCCTGACGGCGGACAGCGTGGAGGGTATACATGAGCCGCGGGTTCGGGAGTCCGATGCGCACATCATCCTGCCCTCTCTGATCCAGCTGAAGGCGATCTCAGACCGGTTCACCAAGCTGGCCATGGCGACGGCGAATGGCACGAGGGCTTCGAGCGCGGCGCCCAAGCTGGAACTCGCGGCCAACATGCATGGGAGTCTGAAGCTGAGTATTGCTACGGATGCTTTGAACATCTCGAGCGTATGGACCGGTTTGAACAACCCCGAGCTGGACCCGAGGCAGGTCGAGGACGGCGCAAGCCTGGAGGATCATCCTAGCATGAAGTTGAAGGCTGCCGGCCCGGACGCTTGGTCTACGGTCAGAATTGATGGGAGGGATTGGGGGAAAGTACTGAGTGTGGGACGGCTGGGGGGGCGGGTCATTGCGTGTTTCTCTGACGAGCATGCCTTGATTCTCTACGTATACCTTTCAAACTATGATAGCGGAGCTGACGAGTCGGTTTTGACTGTAAGTGTTGACCCTCCGGAAGCCATGATGGTGAAGCTAACTCGAAGAAAATAGTACTACATCTCCTCTTTCAGTATCTGAACAGCTAGGGACACGAATTTCTCGCTTTAGCGATGGCGTTGGGGGTTTTCTATTCTTGATCTTGTGGCTAGCTGTGGGATAGCTCCGATATCGCTCATTCATGTGTACCTTTTATCATGTTGACAGGCGCAAAGCGTAGATGCTCGCTGGACACTGGCACAAATTGAATGGATCGCTATTGGTCGGCTTCCCTTGCTCTGCGATGATTGGTCTCTAGTCTTTTTCTTGATACTCGAATCATTATCTGCTAGACACGTTGTCGACTCCTTTGAACTTCCAATTGCTCCCTAGCGGTCTCGACGCTCTTGCTCACTTCGCAAGCTTTAATCACGGAATCATTATCATGCATTAAGAGAGCGATTATATCCAGACTGTCTTCCCAAAGACCTCTCTATGGAGCGTGCCAGTGTCCAAATACGGCATCAAGTGCATGCCTTCGACCTCAGGGTGGTATATCCCAGGCCAACATCATTCACATCAATCGGTTTATAAATTTCCAAAATAGGCCTCTTGCATATATATATATATATATGTATATTTGGGATAAGCAACACAAGATAAGAAGCTATTCCTTTCCAACTCTGGCTAGCAATCTTAGCATGTCTGTAAGATCTAGAGAATACCCTTCTCGAAAAAGGATCATGTCCGGACTTTGAACACAAAATCTCAACCCTACTTAGTATACGATACAGGAGATAGCAATTAAACCATTGTTTGTCCGTTCAAGCCTGCCAGCACTAGAGACGAAGGCTTCCTTCAGCTTGCTCACATTTCATCAAAGGATATGGTGATATACATGAGAGGCATCTTATTCGATACCCTTTCAGCTGGATCACATTCAACCAAAGGGAAATGGTAAAATCCGCGAGTGGAAATCCTGCTCGATACTTCCTGTTCAGACAAAAAGCAGCCAAGAAATTTATCTTCCGCAAAATCCTGATCTGGAGGACGGGCTATGTCTTCTCAATCCAAGCTGTCTCGATGCGTGCTTAGCATTATGCTGACTTTGTACGACATCAGAGAGAGACTATGGTTGGAACAGCGGGTAGTTCTCGGCTGCCGATTACGTGGTCCCGGTCTCGGCTTCGGGTTATTTCTTGCCTGTCTATCACTTCCCGGACTCGGCCTTTGGGAATTTCGGTTGGGATCGTTGTTGATTGATGCAATGCTGCTTGCTTGCTCACTTACTTTTTGGTATGGCATCAATATCAGATCGTTGCTATGATTGAGATAAGCGAGAGTCGAGACGATGCAAGTGCTGACTGACTGACAGACACAGCCAGCTCAACACTAGATTCATTTACGCCGCGTCTATCTGAACATGACTGGATGATCAAGAGACGTCTTCGCAGCTCGAGGGTGTAAAAATGGATGGTAAGCTCGGCCTCGGGTGTCGTGGAAACGAGCATACCATACCCTGATCCTTCCCCAGCTGCTACCAACCTTGAACCTCGAACCCGCCTCTCCCTCTAAGCAGGAAAAAAGCACAAGAATCAAATAACGCCCCAGCCCAGAATCTAGATCCCCATCTTCTTCTTTCCGTTCATCACTACACTTCACTCACTTTCCCTCCTTCCCTTAACTCTTGCATTACAAACATCGCTAACATCCAATATCTCATAAATATCGCATCAATCTATCTCTTATCTTTTTCTTTTTCACAATGGCTTCCTAAATCCTCCAGCTGACCCGGCTGGCCTTCTTCCGCCGGTTGGGACTCGGGAGGGTTTGCTTTCTTCGGCATGGCTGCATACAGGATGGCTTGAGTTGGTTGTGTTGTTATAATTCAAAGATTTACAAAATATATATATATATATATATAACTATAATAAAAAAATAATAATAAAAAAAATAATGAAAGATATTCCGGCATGATTGAGACGTGTTGATGTCGCCGAAGCGAGGATTGAGCATTGATGGATGGAATCGCGAATCCAAGCTTTTTCCAAGCCTTGGCTACCTACCTACTGTATAAGCAGACTAGGCCGTACGACGCCATCTTATATATGTATACGTTTTTAGACCTTCATTTTACTTCAATATCATTCAAAACATAGTTAAGCCGCAAAACTCGAGGGCGTCTTCTCACTACCAGCATCGCGTCTTGTTCAAGCATCGTTCAGCAATCAGGATCCTCAAGGCGGCCGGCCAGCTACTGCATTCAATTGCCTCTCAGCCTTTCTAATACACGATATCTATCACCTCGAAATATTTATTCCAAGTAACCGCACATCACAGTCACAAACGGTATATTATCCCCCAGAGCTTCTCCCTTTCTCATTCCCATCAAGCTTATCAGATCTAGCTAGCAATAAGTCTCTCCACAGCTGCAGCCACAGCACTCGCACCCGGCTGACTCCCCTCCGCGCATGCTCACGTCGTTTCCAGAGGTGCTCATCGCATCAGCGCGCTTCTGTCACGGCCGGCAAGAGACGTGTCAGCTTACATCTATCTCTCTTTCAATTGCAAAGTATGGTGAAAGAACGATGGGATGGGATGGCTCGGCTCACGGGATGCTCGACTTCAAGGGGCCTGCCTAGCTAGTGTTGATAGACATTGGCTCTGGGCCTGGATCCGTCGCTCGACAATAGCAGCAGGCATTTTTTATCGCAATTTATCAGTTAGTCCGTCAGTCCGTCAGTCAGTCAGTCGCAACCCTTTCGCTTCGCTAACGAAGTTGGAACACTTTGGTACCTGGATAGGATACTTCGAGGTCGAGCTCGGGTTGTTTGAGTTTTGAAGTTGGAGTCGAAGTAGGGACGCTTGATGAGAGCTGGAAGCAAAACTGACGGAAAAGGAAAACTAAAGGAAAGCTTGATGATAGCAATGGAATGCTTGGCTCTATGCTTCTCTAAGGTGGGGGAGGGGGGAGGTGATTTGAGTTTCATGCAGCCAACCTGCCTCTTCCCAGCGTTGCGTCTTAAAGGTTGGCCACATCTATGCGGCCACCGCTACCGACGCAGCTCATACGTATCGATGCATGACAGCCCGGTGGCAGGGTGTGAGCAGGCGCGGCCCATACGAGAGAGGCCGTTCGGGGGGAAGCCCTTGGCCACACCATACGATTGTATGAAGATAAGATGACTGCTGTCGAGCGCCAGCTGCTTTGCTTCGCATAATATTCTAGGAATATCCCATTTATCTCTTTGCGTATTATATATCATGTATTTCAGCCATCACCCACACCGTCGTCAGTCATCCCACCTAAATTCAATATCGCAGAGACACACAGAAACGACTTTTCGTAAGAGAAAAGCGAAACCAGGAATCGGGATCCGCACCCTTCATACACCTCGTTATTGCCCACGCAATCCGCATAGTCAGTCACTCACTGCAGACGAATAGAGTGCTTGCGGAGCCGCGTCAACAAAACCTGCTTAACCTGCCTAATCTGCCTAACAACTAACGTATCTCCACAATTGGTTATCTGAATTGACTTTCGGGATTTCCGAAACACGATTAAGCTATCCAGTCATCTTGACTAAAAGCTTAACGGTCAGTAATCGTTAACTCTTGAAGTTATCTTAGAACCAGGTGCCTTTGACCCTTTCTTTCTTTGTAAAAAAAAGAAACGATCATCAGATCGCTCAAAACCAGCGCTAGTCTCTAAATACAAACAGTTGCCTTTTTTTCCACCGTCCTCAAGCCTTAAACCAATCCTAAACCCGTCCGTCTTACGACTTTACCTATCCAGATTTTCAAAACGTGATAATTAAGAGTGTGCCTCATATTCAAAAGACCGGACTGATGATCGTTTTAATCGAAAGACGATTATAACATCAAGACCCTCTTCCGAACACTAGGAGGTCTTCATTATCAGGCTAATATCCGTGCCGAGATATTCTTCGGTATCGGTATCACTTTGCGAAGGTTTAACGCCTTTCGTCGATTGGATATTGGGATCAATCGATTTAACATGATCTGACCGCTGCACCGGACGCTTGCTTTCGTATGCTTGTGTAAAGGTGTGAAAGGAGGAGGGAGTCAAAAAGAAAAAAAAAAAAGAAGAACGGATGCAAAGGACCGAGAGATAGAAGGCGGTAAAGATATCTGCTTATTAGTATCAGCTTTCGAACAAGGCTTTTTTAAGACTATCCGAAGACGGTCTTCTACGAATCTTTTCACGAAAAGATGGACTTTGATAAACGACAATTCGATCAATCTAAACCTTTCTATTCCAGTTGCGATCTCATCGTGGGTTACCTTGGATTTTAATTTCTAAAAGATCCCGACCTGGACCGAGGCGGGATAGGAAAATTTGCCTTTCTATCGTGAAAAGGAAATCAACCGACTCTTGTATCGTAATGATTTTTCTGTATGGGAAGATGCACCGTACTGAGGTAATCAATTAATCAAGTTTGAATTATAGGTTGTTATTCTCTTCTTATATTTTAAAACAATAAAAATAGTATTTTCGCTATACTTTCATTATACTTTTCGACCTGACTAGTCCGTGTATTGAAAAGAGTGTATATGAGAATTGCCGTGTACATGCTAGAATAAGCGAAGAATGCGAAAATCGGACTTCCATTAAAACATATGAAAAGATACGTGCATTACTATCAACTTCAATTTGATAATTAATAATTTTGTAACATATTAGATTAGATCATTCGTTTTCAATCTATAAAACGCTGGTTTTCATTACGGTTGTGGTTGTTAAGATATTCAAAGCAGAGGAAAGTAAAGTTGAATTATTTAAGATGGTTTTTTTAATTATATTTTCATTGCGTTTTAGTATATTAGGTCACTACAAATGAATGCATCTTTATACTCTTTGTACACACTCGTAAAGTAAAGTTTTCTAAGCATGTAGAATTTTTATTTATTTATATTAGTAGTTATTGTTTAATAGGTGGTATACTATCACTATCCCGCCCCGCCGACTTGCTATAGCAAATCGGTCAGATCTTTCGAATTAAATCTAAGATAACCGACGACTAATTCACTTACGCCGTCATTTATCAGATACGATCTTATCTTAAGTCTTGATAGTAAGTAGTCTATTAACCGTATTAAATAATAGTAGGAGTAGACCTTACAACTTTTCGGGCCCTTCTTTATTAAAAGTCAAACACCATCCTACATTTAATCTCTGAAGACCCTTTTTAAACAAGAAGCCTTTCGAAATAAATTGTCTGGTTACCTTCCCCTCTTGACTTCCCTCCTTGACCTTCCCCATCACCTTCTGAAAATCCAAAAACATACAACAGCAGGTATTCGCTGGTGGTCACCCACCCAACTACTAATCTGCCGATCTGAGGCTTGTGTATGGCAGAGCGAACGGGATGCCCAATTCTCCTCAGTCTATGGTCGTATGTGCCAGACATTCCTGGACTTAAATTCATAATCCTAATTCTGCCATGAAAATATCTGTGCCCTGCTAATTGAACACGACTCTTCGTACAATAACTCAATAGGGCCTTAGCAGCCTGCACCTGCCTTACTCTCCTTTGTACTTTCTTTTCCTTCGACGAGAGGTCTTCTTCTCACTGTGATCCATCCTATCTGTAAGGAAAAGGCGCAGACGACAGTAGCCCTTTTGCTGCACCACTGCGAACTGCTTTCTAGGGCTGTCATGTATATTGACTCCTTAGCTTAGCACGTCGCCGTACCTGATGGGAGGTCCCAGGGCGGCAAGGCTTCGCTTGTTACCCGCCACCCGCCCGACGATAATAAATACAACAGCAAGTCAATAGGGCCTTTTGAGTCGCCCACGGGTTATATATCACGAAGGGGTTTATGCAAAAAAAAAAACTATAGGCGTCAAAGCCGCGTCTATTTTACTACCTAGGTTTTAAAATCAGGAAGTGGATGGTATAATCGGATTACACTACCTATTGAAACTATCCCCTATACAAATTCCACTAAGGATACAAGCACCACTCTTGATCACACTCTACCTCTTCCAAACCCGAGATCCATTTTCGCAACAGGCTTCTCCTTGACGACATTGCAAATCCCATCCCCCTTTCCCTTCTACGTCTCCTTCTTCTTGTGTGAAATTCGGGTCTGCAAACCCTCTCCAGTCTCGAGCCCCATCATCCGAATCTTCAGCGCTGTGAAACCCACGTGAAGTTAAATCATGCAAACAGATTCCCGTGACCGGAAGCCGAGCTTTCGAAAACCTGCCGACGAAAGCTACTACTATCTATCGTTAAGGGTTTTGTCGTTTCCGCAACGCGCTATTTCAGATAAGACCTCAGGCTTGAAAGTCTAATGATCCGCGGGCGACTAGAGCCACCCTTGCCGGCCCCGCCGTCCTGGGAAGGAGACCATGTACTACGTACGTACGTATCTGTATATCTAAGGTAGGTATATGAACACAACCTCTACTCTATCTAATCGCTCGAGGGGTTTTCGCTTTTGCAACTGATATAATCCAAACATAATCCAAATCTAATCTAATCTAATCTAATCTAGCACCATCTACCAATTTAAATAAAAGCTCGATTCGATATAAAAAAAACAAAAAAAAAAGTAGGATCCTGAAACCAATCTTCTCTCCCTTCCCTCTCTCCACCCCCACCCCCCCCCACACCCTTT